ACACACACACACACACACACACACACACACACACACACACACACTTACCTCGCCCCGCCTTCTTTTGTAGCCACTGTGGTCTTCTTCCCTCCCCCATCAGCCCCGGCAGCGGTCACATCTGTTGGGCTGGTTTCCGACGCAGGAGTTGGTGCTGGTTTCGGGGCTGAAGGGTTCAATAAAAAAACAAAAACAAAAAAACAATCAGGACACTGAAGTCTGTTTGTGTTGGGGCTTCTTCGAAAATAATTGGATTAGGGGGTGTGGGTGGGTGTGTCCTTGGGCATTACACACCTCTCCGTAACAATAGCTTAATCCAATGTCCTTGCAAGTGCAGCAACAGCACAATACTACCTCCCTCTTCCCTACAGCATTACGTTTAGTTTTAGTAGAGGTTTTACTGCTCTCGCAACTGCATAAGGTCATATGAGCGCCAGAAGATTAGAGGTGTTACAAGAGAGTAACAAACACAAAAAAGAAGGAGGGGAGATAAGGACGATAGATGCTTGATAGGAAAGAAGGAGCAACCAAGCCAGAGCATCCGCCAAACACCCACTCAGAATTATGTACTGACTGCAATGTTTGTCAGCTCATACCAGCCTCTCTGCCCTCATCATTTAAGTCATCTCTTTATCATCGATAACAAATCTAGGATCATGTCATGTTTTAGTAAGAGTTTTTCGGTGCTCGCAACTGCACACGGTCATTCAACATGTTAAAAGGACGGTCAGACATTTATGAAAATTTTTGTAAATAGGCCAGAAAGAGTGTGACCTAATTTGGCGGATAGATACATAGTAAGAGTCGAATACCGAGATCATAATAATTAAGGGCAGTCCTAGCAGAGCACAGAGGCTGACCCCGTTGCCCTGTGACCTCTGACCCTTGACCCTACCTGCCACTGGCCCCTCCCCATGAGCCAGCCCGTGCTGGTACAGGTACAGTGTCCGCTTTGTGTCTGTCACCGTCAAGTTTTTAACCTCTGCTCCGAGGCGGTCTATGAGGATTCTGAAACGATAAGGAAATTATTAAACATAAGGTGTGCCAGTATTTTTTTTAATTTTTTTTTTTGTAAAAGTGTTTTACGGCGCTCGCAGCTGCATAGGTCATATGAGCGCGCTTTTTTTTTTTTTTTTAGTAAGAGTTTTATGGCACTTGCAACACAGTAAGGTCATTCATATAAGTGCCGAAGATTAGAGATGTTACAAGAGAGTAACAAACACACAAAAAAAAGGAGGGGAGATAAAGACGATAGATGTTTGAAAGGAAAGAAGGAGCAAACCACACCAGAGCTACAGGTAAGAAAAAAATAAAAGAACACATTCACACCTGATTCTACAAGTTTTAAAAAAATGACATTTTTATATTATACCTGATTCTACAGGTGAAAAAAAATTCTTAACACCAAAGGAACAAAAACCCATAACAACAACAACAAAAAAAGAGATAAATCTCGCCCGCCAGCTCTCACCTCTGATTGGGGAGATCAAATCGGAAGGACACAGACTGGACTGACTTGCCCGGGTCCCCCCACTTGCACTGTGGAGAGTTGGCCTGATCCAGGCAGAGAAAAAAAAAATTGAGTTTTTTAGTTTTAGTAAGAGTTTTACAGCACTTGCAACATAATAAGGTCATCTAAGTGTTGAAGATTAGAGGTGTTACAAGAGAGTAACATACACAAAAAAGAAGGAGGAGAGATAAGGACGATAGATGTTTGATAGGAAAGAAGAAGCAAACCACATCAGAACACCTGCCAACCACCCACACACAGTTTTAAATAACAATTCTATATATTTAAAAGTCAATAAAAAGACAGGATGTATTCACAAGACAAATTTTAAAAAACAAACTGAAAAGACAAAGCAGTCCTAGAAGACAAACAAGAACGCCAAGAACTCATTCTATCATCAGTTGAGAAGCACACCTTTCAAACACACACCAAGAACTCATTCTATCATCAGCTGAGAACCACACCTTTCAAACACACACCAAACTGGCAAAGTTCAGAAAGAAAGAAAAAAGACTCCTCTATGTATTCTTCACTGTAGGTTAAATAAATAACTTCTACTGTCACAATATAAATGTTCATACATTTATAAATATATCTGATAGTAAAGGAGTGAGAAAAATGAGTCAAATTGAGTAGTAATAATACATAAAGAGAAAGAGAAAGAGCGGGAGTGAGAGACATCCAAGAGAGAGAGAGAGAGAGAGAGAGAGAGAG